CGGGCCGCTCCATTCCACAGAGACCGAGTATAACTTCACCTACTCCACGAGCTGCTTCATCCCAAAGAGACTGAGTATAACTCCGCCCACTCCATGGGCCGCTCCATTATCTCCATCTGCCAATGGTACAACAGTACTAACTACTAACCATGGAGCTGTTTGTGGTTTGTTCAACATGCTTTGTTAATCAACAGTTTAGTGTGTGCATACTACACTGAAAAGACATTTTATGGTCTCCAAATATTTTTAAAATAATTTGTAGGCATGTTTTATTTAGTAACTTCATAATAAACTAGGTGGTTTCCTCCCAGACCAAGAACATGCATGTTAGGTTTATTGGTAACTCTAATTGTCCTGAGGTGTGTGAGAGCGAGTGAATAGTTTGTTTCTATGACTCTTTACTTGTACTTGAGTAAATTTTCAAGAGTAAATGTACTATACTGCACTTGAATATGTTATTTTAGTACTCTTTCTACACCAGTAAAATATCTCATGAACCAGTGGATGGATGCCAACAGTACAAAATCTGAAACATCCTGAAGCAACTACATTTTCAGGCTCTCAATGTTCCTAAAGACCCACCAAAGCCCTGCAGAGACCACCACTGATAGTCCATCCAGTGTGAAAAGGACCAAAACAAAAAAATAAAACAATCACAAAAAGTGGAACTTGGTTTATAAAGTCTCCATCTTCTACCACTTATCTACTTGCGTCACAGATGAGACAGCAGGCCCAGAAGACCCACCCAGACCTCCTCCTCCTCAGAGACACTCTCCAGCTCCTCCTGGGGAACCCCAAGGTGCTCTCAGGCCAGAGAGCTTTTATAATCCCTCCAAAGACTTCTGGGTCTGCCTCAGGGCCTCTTCACAGAAAAGGGAGGCACCCTAATCAGATGAGCCACCTCATCTGACCCCCACTGATTCAGAGGAGCAGCGGCTCCACTCTGAGCTCCCCCTAACTCAAAGGCTGAGCCCAGTCACCCTACAAAGGAAGCTCATTTCAGCTGCTTGGATCCAGGATCTGGTTCTTTTGGTCCTGATCCAAACCTCATGACCACTGGTGAGGGTTGGAACCTAGCCAGAGCAGTAAACTGAGAGCTTCAACTTTAGACTCAACTCTTTTTGAACCCCCACCGCTGACTGAAGTGCCATCCTTCCATCTCAGGGACAAGACCCCCAGATACGATGCAAAGCCTCTGCCATGGACCCGGAGTCCACCTGATTCCTGCTGACGACTGGTGGGTTCATTAAGTATAAAGTAAAATTCATTAGATTCTGACAGCTGAGTCCAGCAGAGGCTCAAAGAATATTCACGAGTGATCAAGAACCCTGGTGGAGACGGTTCTGACGGTGATACTGACTGGTCCAGCTGGTTGGAACACAACACACACTTGTGTCTGCACCGTGATCAGCTCATTATTCTGAGAAACAAGCCACGCCTTCCCGAGAGGACGAGACTGGTTATCAGAGTTAACAGCACCATTCATCCCAACAAAGTAAAGCCCCAGCGCTCACTGAAGGACCACACGCTGCCCGTCGTACCAGAGGTTTACTCCAACAGCGCCTCATGGTGAGGAACGACGAGTCTGAAGCTGTTATGGTCAGATTTTGTTAGCGCTAAGAGAATGTGTTGGGGAGGACTCTCAGCTGCCACTAGACCTGTCGCGATAAACAATAAATCAATTAATCGCATGATAAATAAATTATCGACCTCATTTTCATTTATCGGCTTTATCGTGTCTCTCTTTCTGAAGACACTGGATGACAAAAGGTTCAACTCCGGTGCTCTTCACTGACTCCTCCCTTTCTCTTTAAAATCCGTTTGAACGATCCAAAATCACGTTTTTGGATCGCAGCTAAAGCTGAGATGCTAAGCTACGAGCTAAGCTAACAGGCCGACCTCAGGAAAAAACCCTCCATTTTGTCAAAGCTCTAAAATTCACGGTTGAAACCCGTGCCTTTGTGTAAAAAGTTGTTTTTCTCTCTTAAATTTGACAATAACGACTAATTATTGGTAAATTTCAAACAATATTATCGTTTATCGCGTTCATTTCTGAGACGATCAATCGCCCAGCAACATGCGTCATCGTGACAGGCCTAGCTGCCTCCACATCAAATCTTAGCTCAGGATCTAGAAAACTCAGAGTTGGAGCCGTTTTCAGTTTTGGTCACGTTGATTAGCAGGGGCAGCCATTTTGAGCTTTAAAGTGATCATCGAAGTCCGTTTATCCATGAATTTCACCAGCTACAGCCAGGATCACTACATGGGCGGCGTGTTCGGTTCCACGTGGTGGATCGCTGGACGTTTAGGACTCACCGGAGTGGAGGAAGTAGTTGGCCCACTGCCTGCACTGGTGGTGGGCTTCGCTCTGAGCGACCTCGTTCTCGTGGTGAGGGAAGGCCAGATCGATGCCTCCGGAGTGGAGATCCAGCTGAGCCCCAAACACGCAGCTGAGAGCAACAACAGCAGCGCTGTCAGACGACTGGGTCAGCATCCAGAGGTGCTTCTCCTGCTTTTTACACTCACATTTCAAACTCTCTTTAAGACATGCTAATCAAGTTTAGCTCATTCTGGTTCCTTATGGTTGTCACTTTTATACTTTTACACTTGATCTACTTTCATCTTTTTATGCAACGCTGAGTTTCAGCTAGCCTTCTTCTACTTGTAGCTACTTCTTTAGTTTTCCAAGTCCTCTTTCAGCTTTTAGACGGCACTTTGAGGCTTGGAACTTGTAGGAAACCTTTTGTTAGTGTCTTGAGCTAATTGTTGCACAGGAAAAACTCCAGATTGTTTCAAACGTGCTCTAGGGTCTGACCTTTAGAGGTGCTCAGCCCCAGTACGGACCACGGCTCTTGGATTGAACAACCCACTCCATGGTGATGTTTGTGAGAAGTGCAAAAGATTAGAGGACCTGGTATTAGACCAGGCGGTCTCCCATCCAACTAACCAGGCTCGACCCTGATTAGCTTCAAAGATGAGCAGATGGGGCGTGTTCAGGGTGAAGTGGCCGTAAACGAGGAGCTCAGCCACAGAGAGGACTTTAAAGGATCATGTCAAAGACTGAACTGAACTTACAACATACATCTACACATAAAACAACACACAACAAAAAA